GCGTGTGTGTACCTGTGTGCCTGTACCTTTGCTCTCAGCATGTCGTTCTCCTTCTGCAGCGTGTGTGTACCTGTGTGTGTACCTGTGTGCCTGTACCTTTGCTCTCAGCATGTCGTTCTCCTTCTGCAGCGTGTGTGTACCTGTGTGCCTGTACCTTTGCTCTCAGCATGTCGTTCTCCTTCTGCAGCGTGTGTGTACCTGTGTGCCTGTACCTTTGCTCTCAGCATGTCGTTCTCCTGCAGCGTGTGTGTACCTGTGTGCCTGTACCTTTGCTCTCAGCATGTCGTTCTCCTGCAGCGTGCGTGTACCTGTGTGCCTGTACCTTTGCTCTCAGCATGTCGTTCTCCTTCTGCAGTGTGTGTGTACCTGTGTGTGTACCTGTGTGCCTGTACCTTTGCTCTCAGCATGTCGTTCTCCTTCTGCAGCGTGTGTGTACCTGTGTGCCTGTACCTTTGCTCTCAGCATGTCATTCTCCTTCTGCAGCGTGTGTGTACCTGTGTGCCTGTACCTTTGCTCTCAGCATGTCGTTCTCCTTCTGCAGCGTGTGTGTACCTGTGTGCCTGTACCTTTGCTCTCAGCATGTCGTTCTCCTTCTGCAGCGTGTGTGTACCTGTGTGCCTGTACCTTTGCTCTCAGCATGTCGTTCTCCTTCTGCAGCGTGTGTGTACCTGTGTGCCTGTACCTTTGCTCTCAGCATGTCGTTCTCCTTCTGCAGCGTGTGTGTACCTGTGTGCCTGTACCTTTGCTCTCAGCATGTCGTTCTCCTTCTGCAGCGTGCGTGTACCTGTGTGCCTGTACCTTTGCTCTCAGCATGTCGTTCTCCTTCTGCAGCGTGTGTGTACCTGTGTGCCTGTACCTTTGCTCTAAGCATGTCATTCTCCTTCTGCAGCGTGTGTGTACCTGTGTGCCTGTACCTTTGCTCTCAGCATGTCGTTCTCCTTCTGCAGCGTGTGTGTACCTGTGTGCCTGTACCTTTGCTCTCAGCATGTCGTTCTCCTTCTGCAGCGTGCGTGTACCTGTGTGCCTGTACCTTTGCTCTCAGCATGTCGTTCTCCTTCTGCAGCGTGCGTGTACCTGTGTGCCTGTACCTTTGCTCTCAGCATGTTGTTCTCCTTCTGCAGCGTGTGTGTACCTGTGTGCCTGTACCTTTGCTCTCAGCATGTCGTTCTCCTTCTGCAGCGTGTGTGTACCTGTGTGTGTACCTGTGTGCCTGTACCTTTGCTCTCAGCATGTCGTTCTCCTTCTGCAGCGTGTGTGTACCTGTGTGCCTGTACCTTTGCTCTCAGCATGTCGTTCTCCTTCTGCAGCGTGTGTGTACCTGTGTGCCTGTACCTTTGCTCTCAGCATGTCGTTCTCCTTCTGCAGCGTGTGTGTACCTGTGTGTGTACCTGTGTGCCTGTACCTTTGCTCTCAGCATGTCGTTCTCCTTCTGCAGCGTGTGTGTACCTGTGTGCCTGTACCTTTGCTCTCAGCATGTCGTTCTCCTTCTGCAGCGTGTGTGTACCTGTGTGCCTGTACCTTTGCTCTCAGCATGTCGTTCTCCTGCAGCGTGTGTGTACCTGTGTGCCTGTACCTTTGCTCTCAGCATGTCGTTCTCCTGCAGCGTGGTGTACCTGTGTGCCTGTACCTTTGCTCTCAGCATGTCGTTCTCCTTCTGCAGTGGTGTGCTGTGTGTGTACCTGTGTGCCTGTACCTTTGCTCTCAGCATGTCGTTCTCCTTCTGCAGCGTGTGTGTACCTGTGTGCCTGTACCTTGCTCTGTCAGCATGTCGTTCTCCTTCTGCAGCGTGTGTGTACCTGTGTGCCTGTACCTTTGCTCTCAGCATGTCGTTCTCCTTCTGCAGCGTGTGTGTACCTGTGTGCCTGTACCTTTGCTCTCAGCATGTCGTTCTCCTTCTGCAGCGTGTGTGTACCTGTGTGCCTGTACCTTTGCTCTCAGCATGTCGTTCTCCTTCTGCAGCGTGTGTGTACCTGTGTGCCTGTACCTTTGCTCTCAGCATGTCGTTCTCCTTCTGCAGCGTGTGTGTACCTGTGTGCCTGTACCTTTGCTCTCAGCATGTCGTTCTCCTTCTGCAGCGTGTGTGTACCTGTGTGCCTGTACCTTTGCTCTCAGCATGTCGTTCTCCTTCTGCAGCGTGTGTGTACCTGTGTGCCTGTACCTTTGCTCTCAGCATGTCGTTCTCCTTCTGCAGCGTGTGTGTACCTGTGTGCCTGTACCTTTGCTCTCAGCATGTCGTTCTCCTGCAGCGTGTGTGTACCTGTGTGCCTGTACCTTTGCTCTCAGCATGTCGTTCTCCTTCTGCAGCGTGCGTGTACCTGTGTGCCTGTACCTTTGCTCTCAGCATGTCGTTCTCCTTCTGCAGCAGCGTGTGTGTACCTGTGTGTGTCCTCCGTGTGCCTGTACCTTTGCTCTCAGCATGTCGTTCTCCTTCTGCAGCGTGTGTGTACCTGTGTGTGTACCTGTGTGCCTGTACCTTTGCTCTCAGCATGTCGTTCTCCTTCTGCAGCGTGTGTGTACCTGTGTGTGTACCTGTGTGCCTGTACCTTTGCTCTCAACATGTCGTTCTCCTTCTGTACCTGTGTGTGTACCTGTGTGTGTACCTGTGTGCCTGTACCTTTGCTCGCAGCATGTCGTTCTCCTTCGTCAGCGTGTGTGTACCTGTGTGTGTACCTGTGTGCCTGTACCTTTGCTCTCAGCATGTCCTTCTCCTTCTGCAGCGTGTGTGTACCTGTGTGCCTGTACCTGTGTGTGTACCTGTGTGCCTGTACCTTTGCTCTCAGCATGTCGTTCTCCTTCTGCAGCGTGCGTGTACCTGTGTGCCTGTACCTTTGCTCTCAGCATGTCGTTCTCCTTCTGTACCTGTGTGTGTACCTGTGTGTGTACCTGTGTGCCTGTACCTTTGCTCGCAGCATGTCGTTCTCCTTCTGCAGCGTGTGTGTACCTGTGTGCCTGTACCTTTGCTCTCAGCATGTCGTTCTCCTTCTGCAGCGTGTGTGTACCTGTGTGTGTACCTGTGTGCCTGTACCTTTGCTCTCAGCATGTCGTTCTCCTTCTGCAGCGTGTGTGTACCTGTGTGCCTGTACCTGTGTGTGTACCTGTGTGCCTGTACCTTGGCTCTCAGCATGTCGTTCTCCTTCTGCAGCGTGTGTGTACCTGTGTGCCTGTACCTTTGCTCTCAGCGTGTCGTTCTCCTTCTGCAGCGTGTGTGTACCTGTGTGTGTACCTGTGTGCCTGTACCTTTGCTCTCAGCATGTCGTTCTCCTTCTGCAGCGTGTGTGTACCTGTGTGCCTGTGTGTGTACCTGTGTGCCTGTACCTTTGCTCTCAGCATGTCGTTCTCCTTCTGCAGCGTGTGTGTACCTGTGTGTGTACCTGTGTGCCTGTACCTTTGCTCTCAGCATGTCGTTCTCCTTCTGCAGCGTGTGTGTACCTGTGTGCCTGTACCTTTGCTCGCAGCATGTCGTTCTCCTTCTGCAGCGTGTGTGTACCTGTGTGTGTACCTGTGTGCCTGTACCTTTGCTCTCAGCATGTCGTTCTCCTTCTGCAGCGTGTGTGTACCTGTGTGTGTACCTGTGTGTGTACCTGTGTGCCTGTACCTTTGCTCTCAGCATGTCGTTCTCCTTCTGCAGCGTGTGTGTACCTGTGTGCCTGTACCTGTGTGTGTACCTGTGTGCCTGTACCTTTGCTCTCAGCATGTCGTTCTCCTTCTGCAGCGTGTGTGTACCTGTGTGTGTACCTGTGTGCCTGTACCTTTGCTCTCAGCGTGTCGTTCTCCTTCTGCAGCGTGTGTGTACCTGTGTGCCTGTACCTGTGTGTGTACCTGTGTGCCTGTACCTTTGCTCTCAGCATGTCGTTCTCCTTCTGCAGCGTGTGTGTACCTGTGTGTGTACCTGTGTACCTGTACCTTTGCTCTCAGCATGTCATTCTCCTTCTGCAGCGTGTGTGTACCTGTGTGTGTACCTGTGTACCTGTACCTTTGCTCTCAGCATGTCATTCTCCTTCTGCAGCGTGTGTGTACCTGTGTGTGTACCTGTGTACCTGTACCTTTGCTCTCAGCGTGTCGTTCTCCTTCTGCAGCGTGTGTGTACCTGTGTGCCTGTACCTGTGTGTGTACCTGTGTGCCTGTACCTTTGCTCTCAGCATGTCGTTCTCCTTCTGCAGCGTGTGTGTACCTGTGTGTGTACCTGTGTGCCTGTACCTTTGCTCTCAGCGTGTCGTTCTCCTTCTGCAGCGTGTGTGTACCTGTGTGCCTGTACCTGTGTGTGTACCTGTGTGCCTGTACCTTTGCTCTCAGCATGTCGTTCTCCTTCTGCAGCGTGTGTGTACCTGTGTGTGTACCTGTGTACCTGTACCTTTGCCTCAGCATGCTCTCCTCTGCAGCATGTCATGTGTGTGTACCTGTGTCGTACCTTGCAGCGTGTGTGTACCTGTGTGTGTACCTGTGTACCTGTACCTTTGCTCTCAGCATGTCATTCTCCTTCTGCAGCGTGTGTGTACCTGTGTGTGTACCTGTGTACCTGTACCTTTGCTCTCAGCATGTCATTCTCCTTCTGCAGCGTGTGTGTACCTGTGTGTGTACCTGTGTACCTGTACCTTTGCTCTCAGCGTGTCGTTCTCCTTCTGCAGCGTGTGTGTACCTGTGTGTGTACCTGTGTACCTGTACCTTTGCTCTCAGCGTGTCGTTCTCCTTCTGCAGCGTGTGTGTACCTGTGTGTGTACCTGTGTACCTGTACCTTTGCTCTCAGCATGTCATTCTCCTTCTGCAGCATGTGTGTACCTGTGTACCTGTACCTTTGCTCTCAGCATGTCATTCTCCTTCTGCAGCGTGTGTGTTCCTGTGTGTGTACCTGTGTACCTGTACCTTTGCTCTCAGCATGTCATTCTCCTTCTGCAGCGTGTGTGTACCTGTGTGTGTACCTGTGTACCTGTACCTTTGCTCTCAGCGTGTCGTTCTCCTTCTGCAGCGTGTGTGTACCTGTGTGTGTACCTGTGTACCTGTACCTTTGCTCTCAGCGTGTCGTTCTCCTTCTGCAGCGCTCGCAGACGTCCGTCCAGTTCCTTTACTGTGTATTCTCGACTTGAATCATTGTTTTTGCTGCTCATGAGCTGAGCCTCCAGAGAGCGCTGTGACGAGACCGCCTCCTTCAGGGACGACTGCAACACAACAACACAACGTCACAACATGTCAACACAACATCACAACAACACAACATCACAACACAACGTCACAACACAACAGGGAGGGGGAGGGCTCACAGACAGAGGAGCTCAGATCAGATTGTTTCACTTGAGGTGACATCACACATGTGTGTGTGTGTGTGTGTGTGTAGATAGTGTATGTAGTGTTGTGAGTGTGTGTGTGTGTGTAGTGTAGATAGTGTGTGTAGTGTTGTGAGTGTGTAGTGTAGAGAGAGTGTGTGTGTAGTGTAGATAGTGTGTGTAGTGTTGTGACTGTGAGTGTGTAGTGTAGAGAGTGTGTGTGTGTAGTGTAGATAGTGTGTGTAGTGTTGTGAGTGTGTAGTGTAGAGAGAGTGTGTGTGTAGTGTAGATAGTGTGTGTAGTGTTGTGTGTGTGTGTGTGTGTAGTGTAGATAGTGTTGTGAGTGTGTGTGTGTGTGTGTAGTGTAGATAGTGTGTGTAGTGTTGTGAGCGTGTGTGTAGTGTTGTGAGTGTGTGTGTGTGTGTAGTGTAGAGAGTGTGTGTGTGTAGTGTAGATAGTGTGTGTAGTGTTGTGAGTGTGTGTGTAGTGTAGAGAGTGTGTGTAGTGTAGAGAGTGTGTGTGTGTGTGTCCTTCACCTGCAGTTGTCGGTTGTTCTCTCGGATATCCTCCAGCAGACTGTCGTACTGTTTGGCCTGATCTGCTTTGAAGGACAGGTCTCTCTCCAGAGTCTCCTTATCTGCCTCAAGACGCTACACAACAACACACAACATACAACAACACAACATTACACAACGCTCTGGTTACACACTGGTATTCTTTACATACAACATTGACTTTATTATTGTAATTCATGGGTTTGCGTACAATTTCGCTGGTCTCTCTCTCTGGTCTCACTCTCTGGTCTCACTCTCTGGTCTCACTCTCTGGTCTCACTCTCTGGTCTCACTCTCTGGTCTCACTCTCTGGTCTCACTCTCTGGTCTCACTCTCTGGTCTCACTCTCTGGTCTCACTCTCTGGTCTCACTCTCTGGTCTCACTCTCTGGTCTCACTCTCTGGTCTCACTCTCTGGTCTCTCTCTCTGGTCTCTCTCTCTGGTCTCTCTCTCTCTCTGGTGTCTCTCTCTCTGGTGTCTCTCTCTCTGGTGTCTCTCTCTCTGGTCTCTCTCTCTCTGGTCTCTCTCTCTCTGGTGTCTCTCTCTCTGGTCTCTCTCTCTCTGGTCTCTCTCTCTCTCTCTGGTCTCTCTCTCTGGTGTCTCTCTCTCTGGTGTCTCTCTCTCTGGTGTCTCTCTCTCTGGTGTCTCTCTCTCTGGTCTCTCTCTCTCTGGTGTCTCTCTCTCTCTGGTGTCTCTCTCTCTGGTCTCTCTCTCTCTGGTCTCTCTCTCTCTGGTCTCTCTCTCTCTGGTCATCGTTTGGAGTAGAGTTCCTTCGTTAAAGTTCCGTCCTGATTTCAGCCCCGGTCCCACTCTCAGTCCTGGTCTCAGTCTCAGTCCTGGTCTCAGTCCTGGTCCTGGTCCTGGTCCTGGTCCTGGTCTCTCACCCGCAGGTCCTCAGACATGTTCAGCAGCTCCTCTCTCAGACTGCTGAAGGTGGACAGCAGCAGACGCATGCTCTAGTCTCAGTCCTGGTCTCAGTCTCAGTCCTGGTCCTGGTCTCAGTCCTGGTCTCAGTCCTGGTCCTGGTCCTGGTCCTGGTCTCTCACCCGCAGGTCCTCAGACATGTGCAGCAGCTCCTCTCTCAGACTGCTGAAGCTGGACAGCAGCAGACGCATGCTCTAGTCTCAGTCCTGGTCTCAGTCTCAGTCCTGGTCCTGGTCTCAGTCCTGGTCTCAGTCCTGGTCCTGGTTCTGGTCCTGGTCCTGGTCTCTCACCCGCAGGTCCTCAGACATGTGCAGCAGCTCCTCTCTCAGACTGCTGAAGGTGGACAGCAGCAGACGCATGCTCTTATCGGCCGTGAGACGAGTCTGACACAAACACAACACAGGTCTCCCATCACATTACTAACCAGGCCCTGTCCTGCTTAGCTACAGTGGCTCTCACAGGCTCAATATGTAAAAGACAGAGGACTGAAATAGAACTAGTGTATCAGTGGAAAACCCTATTCTCAGAGAAACTATTGCAAACTAATACAGAAATAAAATAAGAAAGTCCTTCATATAAAACTGTGACCTCAGTCTGTGTGCTATACAGATAAAACATACTCATTCATGTATTCAATAACCCAGGTTTAAACATAAAAGCAGACTAAGGAGTGTCTCTCTTGCTGTGGTTTATCATGTGTAAATGTCCTTCACCTGCAGTAAGTATCTCATCTGTTGTTTGGTCAGTTCTGTGGCTCCTTTAGGAAGAAGAGCCTCCACCTCCTCCCTCTCCACCTGCAACACACACACACACACATGAGGCACGACACACAACACAACACACACACACATGAGGCACGACACACAACACAACACACACATGAGGCACGACACACACACACATGAGGCACGACACACAACACAACACACACACACACATGAGGCACGATACACAACACAACACACACACACACACGAGGCACGACACACAACACACACAACACACACACACGAGGCACGATACACAACACAACACACACACACACATGAGGCACGACACACACACACATGAGGCACGACACAACACAACACACACACACAACACACACACACATGAGGCACGACACACACACACAACACAGACACATGAGGCACGACACACACAACACAATACACACACACAAGGCACGACACACAACAGATAAACAACATGAGACAGTCGAGGTGGGAAGTGTCAAACATGATGATTCTATAGAACTGTGATCACGATACAGACAGTCTGTGATTCTAACATATCACGATACAGACAGTCTGTGATTCTAACATATCACGATACAGACAGTCTGTGATTCTGACATATCACGATACAGACAGTCTGTGATTCTAACATATCACGATACAGACAGTCTGTGATTCTGACATATCACGATACAGACAGTCTGTGATTCTGACATATCACAATACAGACAGTCTGTGATTCTGACATATCACGATACAGACAGTCTGTGATTCTGACATATCACGATACAGACAGTCTGTGATTCTGACATATCACGATACAGACAGTCTGTGATTCTAACATATCACGATACAGACAGTCTGTGATTCTGACATATCACGATACAGACAGTCTGTGATTCTGACATATCACGATACAGACAGTCTGTGATTCTAACATATCACGATACAGACAGTCTGTGATTCTAACATATCACAATACAGACAGTCTGTGATTCTGACATATCACGATACAGACAGTCTGTGATTCTGACATATCACGATACAGACAGTCTGTGATTCTGACATATCACGATACAGACAGTCTGTGATTCTAACATATCACGATACAGACAGTCTGTGATTCTAACATATCACGATACAGACAGTCTGTGATTCTAACATATCACGATACAGACAGTCTGTGATTCTGACATATCACGATACAGACAGTCTGTGATTCTGACATATCACGATACAGACAGTCTGTGATTCTAACATATCACGATACAGACAGTCTGTGATTCTAACATATCACGATACAGACAGTCTGTGATTCTAACATATCACGATACAGACAGTCTGTGATTCTAACATATCACGATACAGACAGTCTGTGATTCTGAACATATCACGATACAGACAGTCTGTGATTCTAACATATCACGATACAGACAGTCTGTGATTCTAACATATCACGATACAGACAGTCTGTGATTCTAACATATCACGATACAGACAGTCTGTGATTCTGACATATCACGATACAGACAGTCTGTGATTCTAACATATCACGATACAGACAGTCTGTGATTCTAACATATCACGATACAGACAGTCTGTGATTCTAACATATGACACGATACAGACAGTCTGTGATTCTGACATATCACGATACAGACAGTCTGTGATTCTGACATATCACGATACAGACACGATACAGACAGTCTGTGATTCTAACATATCACGATACAGACAGTCTGTGATTCTAACATATCACGATACAGACAGTCTGTGATTCTAACATATCACGATACAGACAGTCTGTGATTCTAACATATCACGATACAGACAGTCTGTGATTCTAACATATCACGATACAGACAGTCTGTGACTCTAACATATCACGATACAGACAGTCTGTGATTCTAACATATCACGATACAGACAGTCTGTGATTCTAACATATCACGATACAGACAGTCTGTGATTCTGACATATCACGATACAGACAGTCTGTGATTCTAACATATCACGATACAGACAGTCTGTGATTCTAACATATCACGATACAGACAGTCTGTGATTCTAACATATCACGATACAGACAGTCTGTAATTCTAACATATCACGATACAGACAGTCTGTGATTCTAACATATCACGATACAGACAGTCTGTGACTCTAACATATCACGATACAGACAGTCTGTGATTCTAACATATCACGATACAGACAGTCTGTGATTCTAACATATCACGATACAGACAGTCTGTGATTCTAACATATCACGATACAGACAGTTTGTGATTCTAACATATCACGATACAGACAGTCTGTGATTCTAACATATCACGATACAGACAGTCTGTGATTCTGACATATCACGATACAGACAGTCTGTGATTCTAACATATCACGATACAGACAGTCTGTGATTCTGACATATCACGATACAGACAGTCTGTGATTCTGACATATCACGATACAGACAGTCTGTGATTCTGACATATCACGATACAGACAGTCTGTGATTCTAACATATCACGATACAGACAGTCTGTGATTCTGACATATCACGATACAGACAGTCTGTGATTCTAACATCACGATACAGACAGTCTGTGATTCTAACATATCACGATACAGACAGTCTGTGATTCTGACATATCACGATACAGACAGTCTGTGACTCTAACATATCACGATACAGACAGTCTGTGATTCTAACATATCACGATACAGACAGTCTGTGATTCTAACATATCACGATACAGACAGTCTGTGATTCTAACATATCACGATACAGACAGTCTGTGATTCTAACATATCACGATACAGACAGTCTGTGATTCTAACATATCACGATACAGACAGTCTGTGACTCTAACATATCACGATACAGACAGTCTGTGATTCTAACATATCACGATACAGACAGTCTGTGATTCTAACATATCACGATACAGACAGTCTGTGATTCTGACATATCACGATACAGACAGTCTGTGATTCTAACATATCACGATACAGACAGTCTGTGACACTAACATATCACGATACAGACAGTCTGTGATTCTAACATATCACGATACAGACAGTCTGTGATTCTAACATATCACGATACAGACAGTCTGTGATTCTAACATATCACGATACAGACAGTCTGTGACTCTAACATATCACGATACAGACAGTCTGTGATTCTAACATATCACGATACAGACAGTCTGTGATTCTAACATATCACGATACAGACAGTCTGTGATTCTAACATATCACGATACAGACAGTTTGTGATTCTAACATATCACGATACAGACAGTCTGTGATTCTAACATATCACGATACAGACAGTCTGTGATTCTGACATATCACGATACAGACAGTCTGTGATTCTAACATATCACGATACAGACAGTCTGTGATTCTGACATATCACGATACAGACAGTCTGTGATTCTGACATATCACGATACAGACAGTCTGTGATTCTGACATATCACGATACAGACAGTCTGTGATTCTAACATATCACGATACAGACAGTCTGTGATTCTGACATATCACGATACAGACAGTCTGTGATTCTAACATCACGATACAGACAGTCTGTGATTCTAACATATCACGATACAGACAGTCTGTGATTCTAACATATCACGATACAGACAGTCTGTGATTCTGACATATCACGATACAGACAGTCTGTGATTCTAACATCACGATACAGACAGTCTGTGATTCTAACATATCACGATACAGACAGTCTGTGATTCTGACATATCACGATACAGACAGTCTGTGACTCTAACATATCACGATACAGACAGTCTGTGATTCTAACATATCACGATACAGACAGTCTGTGATTCTGACATATCACGATACAGACAGTCTGTGACTCTAACATATCACGATACAGACAGTCTGTGATTCTAACATATCACGATACAGACAGTCTGTGATTCTAACATATCACGATACAGACAGTCTGTGATTCTAACATATCACGATACAGACAGTCTGTGATTCTAACATATCACGATACAGACAGTCTGTGATTCTAACATATCACGATACAGACAGTCTGTGATTCTAACATATCACGATACAGACAGTCTGTGATTCTAACATATCACGATACAGACAGTCTGTGATTCTAACATATCACGATACAGACAGTATTCTACAAAGTGCCCCCTGGTGGATGTAACAAGTGAATGTAAATGACCAGAGAAATGTTATATTATTTAATTAGATATCACAATACTTTGATAAACTTTGTGCCAAATATCGTGATACTGAACAGTATTGTTGCCCATATTTCACGTCACAAGTTCATATTGTTACAGTAAGAATGAGTGGATTCTCACCGTTCCAAACTCAAAACTGTCCATTTTCCTGCAAAGAAACAAAAAGTAACGTTAGCTTCAGTGAAACCTGACGATGGAACGACAGGTTTAAGGATCAGATCACGGATACAAGCAGAATCACACAGGAGGAGCTCGGAGTAGAGCCGTTGCTCCTCCACATGGAGAGGACGCCTCCCTGAGGAGGTCCCACAGGAGGAGACTAAGAGGAGACCCAGGACACAGAGGACTGAGTCTCTGGGGACGCCTCCGGATCCCCCAGATGAGCTGCAGGAGGTGTCTGGGGAGGGGGAAGGCTGTCTCTGCTCAGACTGTTGCCTCTGCGACCCGGCAACGGATAAAGCGGAAGAAAATGCATGGATATTGTACGGGGTGGAAAATCCTGAGAGACGAAATAGAGAAAGACCAGAGAGAGACCAGAGAGAGACCAGAGGGAGACCAGAGGGAGACCAGAGAGAGACCAGAGAGAGACCAGAGAGAGACCAGAGAGAGACCAGAGAGAGAGACCAGAGAGAGAGTCCAGAGAGAGAGACCAGAGGGAGACCAGAGGGAGACCAGAGAGAGACCAGAGAGAGACCAGAGAGAGACCAGAGAGAGAGACCAGAGAGAGACCAGAGAGAGACCAGAGAGAGACCAGAGAGCGAGGCCAGAGAGAGAGACCAGAGAGAGAGAGAGTCCAGAGAGAGAGACCAGAGAGAGAGACCAGAGAGAGAGACCAGAGAGAGAGAGACCAGAGAGAGAGACCAGAGAGAGAGGCCAGAGAGAGGTCAGAGAGAGACCAGAGAGAGAGACCAGAGAGAGAGACCAGAGAGAGACCAGAGAGAGACCAGAGAGAGAGACCAGAGAGAGAGACCAGAGAGCGAGGCCAGAGAGAGAGGCCAGAGAGAGACCAGAGAGAGAGACCAGAGAGAGAGGCCAGAGAGAGGTCAGAGAGAGAGACCAGAGAGAGAGGCCAGAGAGAGAGGCCAGAGAGAGAGACCAGAGAGAGACCAGAGAGAGAGGCCAGAGAGAGGTCAGAGAGAGACCAGAGAGAGACCAGAGAGAGACCAGAGAGAGACCAGAGAGAGAGACCAGAGAGAGACCAGAGAGAGACCAGAGAGAGAGGACAGAGAGAGACCAGAGAGAGACCAGAGAGAGACCAGAGAGAGACCAGAGAGAGAGACCAGAGAGAGACCAGGCTATCATGGTTTATGTGACTTTTATAAAGTGTAATGCTCTTTGTAAATAATATAACCCAGTTTTGTTTGTATCTAATTAAGTCTTGGATGTAATTTAAGAACCGCAAAGAGAGAAAAGGGCGTCGATAACGACAGAAATGACACTGAAACCAGACCCGCCTCGGTCTAGTCCAGGCACGTTTCATACAGAGATATTCCACAGCAGCATCTGAGCTGGTATTAAAGGGGAGGGGCTGTTCCCATGGGGCTCCTCAAAGATTTAAAGTCTGTTCATTCTGGAATGTATGTGCGACGAGCAGAGATTTACAATCACCTCCAATAATGCAAATGAGGAAGTAATAAAGACATGCAATAGATTTACTATTTCCACCTGTATCTGTATCTGTATCTGTGTGTGCGTGTGCGTGTGTGTACGCGTGTGCGTGTGTGCGTGCGTGCGGTCGATGATGGGAGCAAACATGGGACACACTCTGGACTTTGGCTTTTTGCTGCCCTGGGGCACACTGACAGAAGCGAGGCAACCAGTCTGTGCCATCGGCCCATCCCACCACGGTCGGCACTAGATCATAAACGGAATCGGGACGAAACCAAAAGTAACAGTTCTACTTTCGAATTAGTTCAGATCACTGTTTCTGTTGTTTCCTTTCAGTCATTTAATAATATTTAGGAGCAAAATAATGATTTAACCCAGTTCTATCAGCTGCTTCGATCACATGACCAGGTGGATCACATGACCAGGTGGATCACATGACCAGGCGGATCACATGACCAGGCGGATCACATGACCAGGCGGATCACATGACCAGGCGGATCACATGACCAGGCGGATCACATGACCAGGCGGCTCACATGACCAGGTGGATCACATGACCAGGCGGCTCACATGACCAGGCGGCTCACATGACCAGGCGGCTCACATGACCAGGTGGATCACATGACCAGGCGGATCACATGACCAGGCGGATCACATGACCAGGCGGATCACATGACCAGGCGGATCACATGACCAGGCGGATCACATGACCAGGCGGATCACATGACCAGGCGGATCACATGACCAGGCGGATCACATGACCAGGCGGCTCACATGACCAGGTGGATCACATGACCAGGCGGCTCACATGACCAGGCGGCTCACATGACCAGGCGGCTCACATGACCAGGTGGATCACATGACCAGGTGGATCACATAACCAGGTGGATCACATGACCAGGTGGATCACATAACCAGGTGGATCACATTACCAGGCGGATCACATGACCAGGCGGCTCACATGACCAGGTGGATCACATGACCAGGCGGCTCACATGACCAGGCGGCTCACATGACCAGGCGGCTCACATGACCAGGTGGATCACATGACCAGGTGGATCACATAACCAGGTGGATCACATGACCAGGTGGATCACATAACCAGGTGGATCACATTACCAGGTGGATTACATGACCAGGTGGATCACATGACCAGATGCTCGGAGATGATCTTGCCGACGTGCTCGGAGATGCAGGAGTGGATGATCCCCCCTCCCTCCCTCCTCCTCCTCCTCCCTCCCCCCCCCCCCCCCCCCCCCTCACTCACCCGCCCTTGATCTTGCCGACGTGCTCGGAGATGCAGGAGTGGATGATCCCCCCTCCCTCCTCCTCCCTCCTCCCTCCTCCCTCCCCCCCCCCCCCCCCCCCCCTCACTCACCCGCCCTTGATCTTGCCGACGTGCTCGGAGATGCAGGAGTGGATGTCACAGTTCTTGCGGTACACGTCGGCGAGCAGCTCTCCGAAGTATCGCGTGTCCAGTTTGGTGGGAGGTGGCGCCCCCTGCAGGCTGCTCCTCACCTCCGTCCGCGAGATCTTCTCTATGGGCGGAGGAGGTCTGTTCCGGATCACGTTCACGATCTCCACCTCCTCCACCTCCACCGCCTCCTCGTCCTCCTCCTGAGACACAGAGAGGGAGGGGTCAGACTTAGAGAGGACAGAGGTTAAAGGTTAAAGTGTGATGTCAGTAATGTGCTTTTACTCAAGGAGCAAATAACTTAAAGGAGCAGTGTGTAAACATGTGGCCCAAAGTGGTACTGCAGCCTCTCCCACTCTCCCTGACTCAGGTTGCCAGATATGCAGACGAATCCAGCTGGGACCATAACAGATGAATAGACAAGAGTTTTGTCAACAACAAATCTATAACCAACACCTTTTTCACAAAGATAGAAATCCTGGTTTTATTCCTTGTTTTGTCGTTAATGATTTGAGAATCATAACGAGACCTTTTTTAGTTCTGCCCCACATGGTACTTTACCAGTGAGATTAGCTCCACGCGGTGAGTTCTGGCGCCCGGATCACAGACTTTCTGATTGGTGAAACGGTGGAGGGCGGGACATCGAAATGAAAACAATAACAAGATTTAGAGGCTGGAAAAGTAATTTAGAAATTCAAATATCTCTGAACTACTGTTATCAGTTAAAGAAGGATTGGAAAAGAGCAGTTTATTATTTTGACAGATTAGGGCCCTTTAATGACGACAGATTAGAGCCCTTTAATGATGACAGATTAGGGCCCTTTAAAGACTACAGATTAGGGCCCTTTAACGACGACAGATTAGGGCCCTTTAACGACGACAGATTAGGGCCCTTTAACAACGACAGATGAGGGCCCTTTAATTATGACAGATTAGGGCCCTTTAATGATGACAGCTGAGGGCCCTTTAATGATGACAGATTAGGGCCCTTTAATGATGACAGATTAGGGCCCTTTAATGATGACAGCTGAGGGCCCTTTAACAACGACAGATGAGGGCCCTTTAATGATGACAGATTAGGGCCCTTTAATGATGACAGCTGAGGGCCCTTTAATGATGACAGATTAGGGCCCTTTAATGATGACAGATTAGGGCCCTTTAATGATGACAGATTAGGGCCCTTTAACAACGACAGATGAGGGCCCTTTAATGATGACAGATTAGGGCCCTTTAATGATGACAGATTAGGGCCCTTTAATGATGACAGTTGAGGGCCCTTTAATGATGACAGCTGAGGGCCCTTTAATGATGACAGATTAGGGCCCTTTAATGATGACAGATTAGGGCCCTTTAACAACGACAGATTAGGGCCCTTTAATGATGACAGATTAGGGCCCTTTAATGACAGATTAGGGCCCTTTAATGACAGATTAGGGCCCTCATCATTTATTCAGTAGAAAATGTATGAAACAAGAGTTATGGTGATTTCAGAGCAAAACAAAAGAGAAATAATCTACATCTGAAAAGAAGGTTTTTTTGATGAAATTCAACAAACTAACTTTTAGGTCAAACTTCAGTTATAAAAGAAAGCCGCTGTGTCCTCCAGCTCACAGTCTGGTGGAACTAGTTTGAAAATAGGGCATGTGGACCCAAGGGGCGGGGGGACGTGTCTGTGCGGAGGTTATTCTAAATCCAGAGGCAAACACTCCCATCACAGTGTTAACCAGGCCCTGTCCTGCTTAGCTCTGGGACCTGAGAGGAGGTGCAGGTGATGTCACATGTGGAAGCTCAGTCTCGTTCTCTCCCGTTTCCTTCACTGTGACAAACTCATAACATTTGTATAAAATCCGCTGATCGCTGACTTGGCCTGTGGTGTTTGTGCTGACGGTGCATAAAGGACCAGGTGTTTCTAATCTATCTCAGGTAATCGGCAATTACCCAGAATCCTCTGCAGCGGGACAGTGAAGTGTTTACGATGTGGACCATGTGACCTAAGCCCCGCCCACATTCCTCTGACTGTAGCCGCACCTGCCCCAGCCTTATGTAACGACTTATCTAAGCTCCACTCTCACCTGGAGACGCACAATACACACTGTACTACACACACTACACACTGTACTACACACACTACACACTGTACTACACACACTACACACTGTACTACACACACTACACACTGTACTACACACAATACACACTGTACTACACACTGTACTACACACACTACTACACACTGTACTACACACTGTACTACACACACTACACACTGTACTACACCCACTACACACTGTACTACACCCACTACACACTGTACTACACCCACTACACACTGTACTACACACAATACACACTGTACTACACACAATACACACTGTACTACACACACTACTACACACTGTACTACACACACTACTACACACACTACTACACACTGTACTACACACACTACTACACACTGTACTACACACACTACACACTGTACTACACACAATACACACTGTACTACACACACTACACACTGTACTACACACACTACACACTGTACTACACACAATACACACTGTACTACACACTGTACTACACACACTACTACACACTGTACTACACACTGTACTACACACACTACACACTGTACTACACCCACTACACACTGTACTACACCCACTACACACTGTACTACACACACTACTACACACTGTACTACACACACTACTACACACACTACTACACACACTACTACACACACTACTACACACTGTACTACACACAATACACACTGTACTACACCCACTACACACTGTACTACACACACTACTACACACTGTACTACACACACTACTACACACTGTACTACACACTGTACTACACACAATACACACTGTACTACACACAATACACACTGTACTACACACACTACACACTGTACTACACTACACACTGTACTACACTACACACAATACACACTGTACTACACTACACACACTACACACTGTACTACACACACTACACACTGTACGACACACACTACACACTGTACGACACACAATACACACTGTACTACACACAATACACACTGTACTACACACACTACACACTGTACTACACTACACACACTACACACTGTACTACACACACTACACACTGTACTACACACACTACTACACACAATACACACTGTACTACACTACGCACAATACACACTGTACTACACACACTATACAGACTGTACTACACACACTATACAACAGTGCCTTGCAAAAGTATTCACCCCCCTTGGCATGTTGTGTGTTTTGTTGCCTGTCAACCTGGAATGATCATGGATCGTTTGAGGATTTGCATCAGTTATATTTACAGAACATGCCACAACTTTTTTATTGTGAAGCAAACAACAAAAAGGACAAAACAACAGTAAAGGTCTCTGTGCATAACTCTTCACCCCCTAAAGTCAATACTCTGTAGAGCTCCTTCTGCAGCAGTCACAGCTCCAAGTCGCTTTGGATGAGTCTCTATGAGCTTGAAACATCTGACCACTGGGATGTTGGCCCATTCCTCCTTAAAAACTGCTCCAGCTCCTTCTAGTTGGATGGTTTGTGCTTGTGAACAGTCATCTTTAAGTCTGACACAGATGTTCTATTGGACTGAGGTCTGGGCTTTGACTCGGCCCAACACATTTACATGTTCCCCTTAAACCACTGAAGTGTTGCTTTAGCAGTGTGTTTGGGGTCGTTGTCCTGCTGAAGGTCAACCTCCGTCCTAGCCTCAAATCACGCACAGAGTGGCACAGGTTTAGCTCAAGAATATCCCTGTATTTAGCACCATCCATCTTTCCCTCAACTCTGACCAGTTTCCTAGTCCCATCCCCACAGCATGATGCTGCCCCCACCATGCTTCACTGTGGGGATGGTGTTCTTTGGGTGATGTGTTGGGTTTGCCCCAGACATAGTGTTTTCCATGATGGCTGAAAAGTTTAATGTTAGTCTGATCAGACCAGAGCACCTTCCTCCATACATTTGGGGAGTCTCCCACATGCCTTTTGGCAAACTCACCACGTCCCATTTTGTTTTTTGCTGAAAGTAATGTCTTTCTTCTGCCGCTCTGCCATAAAGCCCAACTCTATGGAGCGTACAGCTTATTGTGGTCCTATGTACAGATGCTCCAGTCTCTGCTGTGGAACTCTGCAGCTCCTCCAGGGTTACCTTAGGTCTCTGCCTCTCTGATTAATGCCCTCCGTGCCCGGTCCCTGAGTTTTGGTGGGCGGCCGTCTCTTGGCAGGTTTGTTGTTGTGCCATGTTCTTTCCATTTGAAAGATTTGATGGTGCTCCTGGGGATCATCACAGAGTTGGATATTTGTTTATAACCTAACCCTGACGTGTACACAACAACACTGTCCCTGACCTGTTTGGAGAGTTCCTTGAGTCTTCATGGCAGTGTTTGGTCAGTGGGGCCTCTTGCTTTGGTGTTGCAGCCTCTGAGGCCTTTCTTAAAGCTGTGTATATGTACTGACAGGTCATGTGACACTTAAAGCTGTGTATATGTACTGACAGGTCATGTGACACTTAAAGCTGTGTATATGTACTGACAGGTCATGTGACACTTAAAGCTGTGTATATGTACGGACAGGTCATGTGACACTTAAAGCTGTGTATATGTACTGACAGGTCATGTGACACTTAAAGCTGTGTATATGTACGGACAGGTCATGTGACACTTAAAGCTGTGTATATGTAGGACAGGTCATGTGACACTTAAAGCTGTGTATATGTACGGACAGGTCATGTGACACTTAAAGCTGTGTATATGTACGGACAGGTCATGTGACACTTAAAGCTGTGTATATGTACGGACAGGTCATGTGACACTTAAAGCTGTGTATATGTACGGACAGGTCATGTGACACTTAAAGCTGTGTATATGTACTGACAGGTCATGTGACACTTAAAGCTGTGTATATGTACGGACAGGTCATGTGACACTTAAAGCTGTGTATATGTACTGACAGGTCATGTGACACTTAAAGCTGTGTATATGTACGGACAGGTCATGTGAGACTTAAAGCTGTGTATATGTACGGACAGGTCATGTGACACTTAAAGCTGTGTATATGTACGGACAGGTCATGTGACACTTAAAGCTGTGTATATGTACGGACAGGTCATGTGACACTTAAAGCTGTGTATATGTACGGACAGGTCATGTGACACTT